TAGACTAGAATATTGTATATTCTATGGAAAAGGCTATTGAGTAGTGTTGTCTATCGACTATTTCACGATCTAGTCCACTAAATAAATCATTGTCATAATGTTTATTTAGAGATTAAAATGAACATAATATATATACGTTAAAAAGTTAAATTGAAAAAGTTAGTATGTATTTTAATTTAGCTTACCATTTCAAATTAAAGATTATCAGATCAAACGAAAATCTTAATTGTAAATATCTTTGTTAAATTTATCAAATATTTTCAATTGTTTTTAATTAATTTTTAAAATATTTATTTTTTCAAAACTAAATAGTATTTCAAAGCAGTTAAATTAAATTGCTTTGTATGTTGCTCTTTTATAGCAAAATTTATTGCTCTTATCAAAATTTTCGTTGGTATGTCAAAATTTTTTTTTAATAATAAATATATTTTTTTCATCCGCTCCTACATGGTTTCATGTCAAATTTTATATGCATGTAACTCACATACATATATATTTGTTTATACCTATACGAACATAGTTCATATCTATGAATCGTTGTATTTCATATACATTGCAAAATAAATTAAGTTTAGTTTTGTTTTTAGTTTTTACAGTGCATTTAGAGTTATGTCATTTTGTTCTATATAGCGATCCATCCATCAATAAATTTTCTTTTTTTTTTACTGATTGTTAGTCGTTGATTATGACTGCTTGTCAATAGTTGTGACATTTTATTGAATGTTAGCAAAATGTTCAATTTACATTGCAGAAATTAGATTGATTAGTTTTTTTTTTTCAGGGAAGAAGAAACAGTGGTAGTATTTAAGAGTTACATAAAAAATTATAGAAAAATGTAAGAATGTTTAAAATTTATTAAAATTTTTAATTATTGAAGATATTGTTGAATAAAACTAGGTATTGTACTACTTTAATATCAAGCTTCATTTAAAATTGACTAATAAAGACATATTTTTCAAATTGCCTTCGGGACGTATGAGCAATATTCATTAATTTTATATTAGCCAAATCCCAATACCTCTTCCATAACATTTAAAGAACTTCAAGTAGTTAATAATTAAAAACATATGTTGCCAATATAAATAGAACAAAAGAGACTATCAAATTTCCACAACCTCAAACCGACAATAATTAACATTAAAAATGAAACTATAACAAATAAATAATAAAAATAAACATAATTAATTTATATGTATTGCAACAAAAAAAAAAAAAGCAGAAGAAGGAATAAATAAATTTGTAATTAAAAACACTTGTGATTAATTATATGTATATATTATTTATGTATGTATGTTTGTAACTATAAATAAATAAATGAAAATGTTTTATATATTTTATTAAAATTTTAAAGCAAGTTGTAGAAAGAGTCAGGAAAATACATTTTAATTTCAAATTTGTTTTTCTTATCTCGATTGCTCTACACAACACAAAGAGTTTATGTCAATATACTCCAGAGAGTATACATGTGTTTTCTGTAAAATAAATTATGATAATGAAAAGTAAATGAAAAATCCATTAACTAAAATAATATATTGTAGGATATATGTATGTGTAAATATGGATATACATTAGTGTGTCCCGAGAAACAGCTTTTTTTCAATATTATATAGGAATAATCTCATTCGTTGCGACAGCGAGAGAGAAAATAAAACTCTATATCACTAAGGCCTAGAATCATTTTCTGCGTTAACTTAGCTATGTCCGTCCGTCTATCTGTCTGTCCATCTGTCTGTTCGTCCATGTAAACCTTGTAATCAAAGTACAGGTCGCAATTTTGAAGACAAATCAATGAAATTTGGTACATGATCTTTTATTGTCCCAGGTATGATCGGTCCATTATTTCACCTAACCTCCATATATCAGAACCTACCGAAAAAAGATTTTGAGCTCCTAATTATGTTTACTATACTCGTATCTCGACAAAAAGACGGCACAACTAGGTTTTATACTTGTCTGTTGAAATTTTAAATGATTGGTCCTCATCGGACCCCTTGGCCCTCATATAAAGACCCAATCAGAAAATGAGTTAAATGTCTACAAATCGTTTTAAAAGGCTAATGTCGCGATGAAATTTGGTATAAAAACATTTTATATAAACTTAGATCCATCCACCAAACCTTATGAAGCGGTCCACATTTTCCCCCAGCCCCCATATAAAGCTTCTTTCTGAAAATTTGTTTTTCGTCAATAAATTGCTTACAAATATCAGAGTCAAGGTACAATTTAACTTAAATACTTTCTCATGAATAACAAATCACATTTCATTCTTTTAACTGGTGTACGATATTATATGGTCGGCCACACCTGACTTTAATTTCTTACATGTTTTCAAGTATCATTATTATTAGATTTAGTATCTAGTTCAGGGTTAAATATCGGAGATGATTTTATATCTGATAACCCAAATATTCCATTCAATTTCTTGTCAAACATTCCCTAGTATAGATTCCCGCCTTACAGATCCATGAAAAATTTCTCATGGGAATGGCATTTTGAAAATTTTGGCTTACTATTTAAACTAAACTTGACCAAAATTTGCTTGCCACCAAGTTGGGTGGGTCAACTGATCACTATATGGTCTCTCCCAGGACATGTTTCCTTGATGAAAGACCCTCATTTTGGTGTATTGCAATCCCGGGTTAAAGAGTACCTCTATACTGCCGGGACTATAAACTGATGATGTCACTCCACTCCTCGACTAGTCCTTGGTATAATTTGACATGGGGTCTAACCAGAGCAACACATAATCTGGGTGATCATTTGCCCACAGGACTGGCTGGTTAGTTGGTTGAGGTTCCTTCTCGCAGAAAGGGGGTGAAATATAGATTTCCGGGATAAGTTTCTGTTACCGCTTCTATTTTCTAGGAGCGGTACAAACCGCTATGTATTAATAAAATATTGGAATTGAGCTGGTAATGCAAAGATTGAGTATGTGTTGGAGTTAGGTGTGCCATTGTATACTTGTTGTTGTGTGTTGGAGTTTACTCTAAACATGCTCAACTTTTCACAGTAGATCCTTGTGGCCACTAAAATAAGTCTTGTCAATTAAATATATGTAGATCCGTGTTTCGGACTACCAATTTCGTCCTCTATGTGTTGTTGCAGAATCAACAGAAGCGTTTTCAGTAGTGAGGCTGGGCGAATTTACGAGATCCAGGAATGCACTGGGATGAGTCTTTGAAAATGTTTGTAGGGACAGAGCTTTCCTCATAACATTTATAGGGTGCTTTTAGCTGATGTTGGGCCCGCCCCTTCTATCGACTGTAACCAGTGGCTGCCTTTGTTGGGGTTAAATTGAGCTCATGACGCCTGTCCTTCCCCAACGGGGCTCCTATGACAAGAGATTAGATAACTCGAGCACTCGATCAAAGTACACGTATACTGGACCGGAAATTCCATATACGTAAATGTTCTTGTATCTCTGCAAAAATTAGCAAAACTTTAATTTAAACTTTATGATACTGTCGATTTTCGTAATGATCAGGTCTCATTTGATCCTAGCCCCCATACAAAGTCTCCTTCAGAAAATGACTTGAAGGTCAAAATTCACTTATAAACACTAATATCGCGATGAAATTGTGCACAAATAACTTCAACATAGACATAAATCCCTCTACATCTGAATGATCGTGGAACAACAATAAAGTGCATATTAAAAGGAAGCTTTTGCATCAAAATAAGACGAAGTTCATTCATAAACTGTATTGGGCGATATATTGGCATTAACTTTTGAGAAGTGATTTTGCAATTGTTTGTGTGGCAGCAATAATTTTGTGCATTAGTATGTCAAGTGTGTGTTTCAACGTCTGAGTATGTGTGTTTTTATTAGTTAATAAATTTAATACGTTTAAGCATTTACCAACATATTAATCAATTAGTAAAATGAGTAATTTTGGTTACTTAACAGTATTGCATAGAAATTTAATAATTTAATTATAATAAAATTAACTCAAAATTTAAAAAAACTGTGTAAAGATATTATTTTAAATTTGAGTTGAAATAATTATTAAATTTTAATTAAATATTTTAATGGTAAATACACATATTAAAATTAATTATTGAAATTTAGGTTGCAATTAATAAAACAATAATTATTATAAAAAAATTGCAAACATTTCTATAATTAACCTTTTTTTTGTTTCTGTAATAAAAAAAAATTGTCCATTGTATACAAAATCGTGCATGTTTTATTTATTAATTTTATAATTAAAACAAGTAATTATTTTATAATTTTTAGAATTAAAATTTTTACAAAAAAAAAACTACAGCATAAATATTTTATTAAATTAATAATATATATTTTCATTTTTTTTTTTTCATTCAAACAAATATTGCAAATAATAAACAATTGTGTATAATTTTACTAACAAAAATTAAACAAATTGCGTTGTATATTTTATTTGTATTTATTTATGTATATCTAGCTTTTTGCTTGATTTTATGATTGATTTTTTTTGTTTTCTTTTTCAAATTATAATGAAAGCTAATAAAATTTTGCATTCACAAGAATTTTTTTTTGTTATTATTTTATGTTTTCTGCAAAAACGTAGTCAGCATAAAAATTTGTTTGCATCCAAGAATACAAAAAAAGAAAACACATAAAAGTACAATAGAAAATATTTTACATTAAATTTTAAAATTTCAATTTGCATTTTTTTGTTTACATATTTACTTACCTTGATTATCATTTGAGAATTTTGTATCGAACAAGCAGCCATAGCATAACATTTTATTATTTTTTTTGCTAATAGACAACAATTATAAATATATCTATATAAAAATATAACAACAAAATAAACAGTAATATTATTTTGAAAATTTATTATTTAATGAAATTACAAAACAAACATATTAATTCTTTTTATTTTATTTTTATTATTGTACAACCTAACTGTATTTATAAAAAAATTAATCTTAAATAAATTTCTATTACTTTTTACCTTTTTTTAAATAAAAAAAAAAAAAAAAACAAAACCAAACCTGAAATACTCCAACTACAGGGCTCGGATCTACCGATATACATTTGGTATGAAAGCTATCCAGAACACATCGAAGACGGTTATAAGGGACGTGTGTCGCGTGTGTCACCGGACTCACCATTCGGTTCGGCATCACTTAATCTGACCAATATCAAAGAGTCGGATCAAGGCTGGTATGAGTGTAAAGTTGTATTTTTAAATCGTGATCCCAAGCAACATAAGAACGGTACATGGTTCCATTTAGATGTACATGCACCGCCCCGTTTTAGCGTAACACCAGATGATATTATTTATGTTAATTTAGGTAAGTACAGATTTTTGTATATTAAAATTCTTATTATCAATATACATATAAAAGAGTCGTCTTAATGACTGATTGATTTTTGCACAGCCATACAGGTAAACCTATTTTGGCAAAAGAAGCCTTTCAGGTCATTTAGATCCATTATGGAGAGAAATTTAAATATTTAGAGCCTACATCGGCAGAGAGCAAAAAATAAGTTGTTTGACTGGTTTTTATTGTTTTTTTATATGTGTAAGCAGACATGCGTGTGAAATTAACGAAACTCTTTGCCGATCAGGGATTTAGAGGGTAAAAAAGAATTAAACTTAGAAAGTTACAGCACAAACCTAATACTTATCGTACTTTATTTGAAAATCGGTCTATTTTGATGAGTAAACGGGTAAAAACTATATTTTGGTACTTTTCGCACCTTATATGTATTTTAAATCAGTATATTTGTAACTAATTAAAAAACTATGAATTCAAGTTTAGTATTTTTTAGAAATTCTCATATTTAAGGGGTAAATATCATATATTTTTTGGTACTTTTTATAAAACATGTTTTCCATTAAGTTGCTTATACATATGAAGATTTAATAATAGACTCCCACTACGATGTTTAATTTTTTCAGAAGAAAATTTTTGTTGCTTCAATAGGGAGAAAAAAAGTTACAAAACGAATGTTCCAGGCGAAAAAGGAAAAATTTTGGTACTTTTTTGTTGCACAAAGAGTACTTTATTGAGTTTTTTATAATATTGAACCTATAAACATAAAACTAAACTGACTGCGTCCAGTTAGAATGGTAAACAATAAAAGACATCATTATGGTACTTTTTCCTTAACCAAATGGTACCTTTTTTTTATATCCACCAATAAAAAAGATAGTGGTTGTATATTGATTTTATCATTCCGTTTGTGACACATAGAAATATAAGTCATTGAATATAAGTCTGTCCATTTATCCGTATATCTGTCTGTTAAAAGTACAATAGGGTCTGAACGAAAAGAATTAGAGGGTTAAAATTTTCCACAAATAATACCACATAGTAGTATCAATAATTGATCCTACGCTTATATATGGTCATCTTTGGAAAGTTGATTTAACGCTTATTAATTTATTAAAACTACTACTACTAATGCAGCAGTTGCCTTCGGTAAGTTAGTGGTTAGTGTTGTAGCCTGGTAGACCGGAGGTGGTGAGTTCTATTCCAACCAGAGGCGCAGGTTAGGTAGCGCATAACAGGCCCGATAGAGGTCTAGGTGCATTTCTAACTAACTAACTAACTAACTAACTAACTAACTAACTAACTAACTAACTAACTAACTAACTAACTAACTAACTAACTAACTAACTAACTAACTAACTAACTAACTAACTAACTAACTAACTAACTAACTAACTACTAACTAACTAACTAACTAACTAACTAACTAACTAACTAACTAACTAACTAACTAACTAACTAACTAACTAACTAACTAACTACTAACTAACTAACTAACTAACTAACTAACTAACTAACTAACTAACTAACTAACTAACTAACTAACTAACTAACTAACTAACTACTAACTAACTAACTAACTAACTAACTAACTAACTAACTAACTAACTAACTAACTAACTAACTAACTAACTAACTAACTAACTAACTAACTAACTAACTAACTAACTAACTAACTAACTAACTACTACTAACTAACTACTACTAACTAACTAACTAACTAACTAACTAACTAACTAACTAACTAACTAACTAACTAACTAACTAACTACTAACTAACTAACTAACTAACTACTAACTAACTAACTAACTAACTAACTAACTAACTAACTAACTAACTACTAACTAACTACTAACTAACTAACTAACTAACTAACTAACTAACTAACTACTAACTACTAACTAACTACTAACTAACTAACTAACTAACTAACTAACTAACTAACTAACTAACTAACTAACTAACTAACTAACTAACTTACTAACTAACTAACTAACTAACTACTACTAACTACTACTAACTAACTAACTAACTAACTAACTACTACTAACTAACTAACTAACTAACTAACAACAACTACTAACTAACTAACTAACTAACTAACTAACTAACTAACTAACTAACTAACACTAACTAACTAACTAACTAACTAACAAACTAACTAACTAACTAACTAACTAACTAACTAACTAACTACTAACTAACTAACTAACTAACTAACTAACTAACTAACTAACTAACTAACTAACTAACTAACTAACTAACTAACTAACTAACTAACTAACTAACTAACTAACTAACTAACTAACTAACTAACTAACTAACTAACTAACTAACTAACTAACTAACTAACTAACTAACTAACTAACTAACTAACTAACTAACTAACTAACTAACTAACTAACTAACTAACTAACTAACTAACTACTAACTAACTAACTAACTAACTAACTAACTAACTAACTAACTAACTAACTAACTACTAACTAACTAACTAACTAACTAACTAACTAACTAACTAACTAACTAACTAACTAACTAACTAACTAACTAACTAACTAACTAACTAACTAACTAACTAACTACTAACTAACTAACTAACTAACTAACTAACTAACTAACTAACTAACTAACTAACTAACTAACTAACTAACTAACTAACTAACTAACTAACTAACTAACTAACTAACTAACTACTACTAACTAACTAACTAACTAACTACTACTAACTACTACTAACTAACAACTAACTAACTAACTAACTACTACTAACTAACTAACTAACTAACTAACTAACTAACTAACTAACTAACTAACTAACTAACTAACTAATAACTAACTAACTAACTAACTAACTAACTAACTAACTAACTAACTAACTAACTAACTATCTAACTAACTAACTAACTAACTAACTAACTAACTAACTAACCAACTAACTAACTATAAGTACATCAATCAAATTCTACCCCATATAAGGTTGACTTCAGAATATGAATTTAACCCTCATAAGCTTCAAAATACTAGTACAGCCATAAAATTCGACATAAACAAGTTTTATACGAACGAAGATTCGTATACCAAATTTTATAAGGATCAATGCAGTAAATACCCTACAGTAAATGACTTTAACTCTCATTAATGGCTTAAAATAAGGATAAAGCGATGAAATTCAACTAAAACATATTCAATACGAAACGAAATCTCTCTTCCAAATTTAATTAGGATCGTTTCATATTTGAAGAGTTTCATAATAATCTTCACAGATTAATAACTTCCAACTCTGTAGTCCAATCTGTCAGATAGTGCGCTGTCTTTAGTAAAGTATACCTTGGCTAAATATGAAAACTTAAAGAACTTTATTTTTAATAAAGTAAATTTCTGTGGTCCATTTTAATATTCATATACAAAATAAATTACCAAATGTAGTCACATAGTGATACATCTACAAAGCAGATTTTTTAAAATTGTTCTATTCTCTAGTATGAATCGAACCCACAACTCCCATTCTAATAGGCCTGCAAACCAGAAACTAGTCTACCGTAGCACCCAAAATATTATATTTTTATTTGTTTCATAAAAAATATACTCATTTTAAATAAATGTATATTTACTTGAACATTTTTCTAAAACAATAAACCCCTGCTTGACATAAATATAATCATAACCATTTTTTTTTTCATTTCGTAAATTCCTGTATGACATTACAATATTTTTTTTATTTAAAGCATCATATGCAGGAAGTTAATCCAAAAAATAAAGTGTTTTTTTTTTTCAATAACCCTTGATTTGCAAACTTAATAATATTTTTATAGCAATTTCTATGCAATAAATATTTTTATATATAAGTAATTTCAAATGCACATAGCTATTTACATCTAGCACAAGATAAATAATATTCTTTTTTTGGGAAAATAACAAAAAAATTGTCCCAAAAAAAAACTACAATTCATATGTACACTTTATTATGAATTCTCTGTTTTTTTCGTATTATTTTATTTCTTATATGAAATGAAAAATTACCACTATAACACCTTTCCTTTTTCTCAAGTATGAAATGCTTTAGTTTTTCATACATTTCTTTTAGTATATTATATAGAAAAAATAAAATAAAATATGAAAAGTTTCAATAAGACATGTAAGACATACATACATAAATACAGTTTATATAGTAAATATAATATAATAATTTATTTTTTGTTATAAATAAGAGTGTTTTATGTAGAATAAGAACAAACAAAAAATGACTAAAACATTTCTACTACATTTATCAAGATTTACAAATACAATTTATGACCAAACATTTATTTGAAAAAGTAATCATAAAAAAATTGTGTGTAAGTATGTGTTTGTATAGAGGAAATCATGAGCAAAAAATGCGAATTTCAAAATGGCAAAAAAAGTAAGAAATGAGGGGAATAAAAACTAACATTACAAAACATCAGAACAAGGAAATTATGACAAAGATACCTTTTTATGTGTGTGCAATTTTTTATATTTAAGTAGATATCAAAAAATAATTTTGGCCAAAAAAAATGAAAGAAATATAGGTAGGTAGGAAATTGGGTTCGGTCAAGTGAGTTTTTATACTGTTCGCTACAGTTCATAGAGGGGATTTATAAAGCAGCTATGAAAAGAAAATTTTAAAAATGAACCAGTTCATGCTGTTTCATCGCTGCTCTCGTTTTTTAAGCTTGTAATGAGAGTAAGGGGACCTTATATGGGTAGTGGGGTCAATTGTGGACCGTTTCTCATAACATTTTGTAGAGCAATTTAAGTTTATACAAAACGTGTTTTTATCTAATTTCATCATTGTACTCTTATTTCTGAAGCCACTAATGAGCGTTCAACTATTTTTTTGGTGGAGACCTTATATCGGGGGTAGGGACCCATGATCATATATTTTGGTAGGGAGATTTTGGTTCGCATAAAACTTGTTTATGTCGAATGTCATTGCTATACTGTTACTTTTAAAAGAGTTATGATTGTAAAAACTGTTTCCCTGGGGACCACT